CTCCCTCTGGTGACCAGTGATAGAACCCGAGGGAACGGAATGAAGCTGGATAGGTTGGATATTAGGAAAAGTTTCTTCACTGAGAGGGTGGTTGGGCACTGGAACAGGCCCCCCAGGGAAGTGGTCACAGCACCGAGCTTGACTGAGCTCAAGAAGTGTCTGGACAATACTCTCAGTCATATGCTCTGATTCGGCTGGTCCTGTGTGGAGCCAGGAGCTGGACTCGATGATCCCCTGGGTCCCTTCCAACTCAGGATATTCTATGATTCTACGAATTTGTGTGAAAACAAACCAAATCTGCGCTAGGAGAGCAGGGAATCACTAAGGAATAAGTGTCTTCACTTCGAACCTACAGGTGGATTGTAATAAAATGTCCTCATAATGAATGTCTTCAAGTCTTCAATATCCAGCTGATTAAATTAATATTTTAAAATTCAAATGTATCCTTTTGAAAGTCCATATAATACATAGGTATGCTAAAATATAACTATGTGTCTTGGGGCTTCCTAAAGACCTCAGGAACTTACATAAAATTTTAAATAAATTCTTCTGGCTAATCCTAGAAAAAGTATTTTCTTTGGAAAATCAAATCTCGCTCATCCTTTAAAATGGTCCCAGCCTACTACATAGTCTTTCTTTGGGTGATAACATTTACAAATCTACCGAAATACCTTCTCCGCAGCATCATTAGTGATTGACACCTGAAGCTACTTCAAGTCATTATTCAGCCAAGGTTACCTCCATTGCAAAAACACACTAGCCACACACTGATGGAAATATCATCTGAGATAACAATTATAACCTTGACTTTTAAGCTCAGAGGTGGTACCTGACGAAGCAAAAAATCCAGTATGCTGAAATTAGCAATCCATAAATAAATAGTTTGGCTAAAACACATAAAAAATATTTTTACACCAGATATTCAAAATGGTACAGGGTGTTATTTCTAGAAACTTCCTTTTCTATCAGTAAGTTTACCTCTCTATATTTAGCATGTTTCTAAACCAGAAAAAAATATTGTCAGTGGAAAACTTTTGGTGCCAAAAACTTTATAAATATTTTATAAATATAGTCATATATCATTCCAACAAATAAAAACATATTACCTCTAGAAAGCTGAATTTTGAAGGCTCCTGCAGCACCACATGGCAAAGAACATAATTATTTTGTTGAATTCTGTTGAAATTGCCTATATTCTGCCATCCTACTAGGGCAAAACTCCTACAAACAGATCTTTCATAAAAGTAAATTGTCAAGGCTAGGATAGTAAGACAGTTTTTGCCAAGCAAGATTCTGACCCTGTCATATGAGGCTGACAGGAACTTTCTGAAATCACAGTGAAAGGAACGAAGTTTGTAGGAACTGACTCGTAACAAAATTTAATGCGGTGTAACAACAGCCCATGTTCAAAAGAATGCCTAACAGGCAACGGAGGGGAGAAAGGCAGCGGTGGGTCCTCTACCCACCCATCTAGCTTTCAGTTGTCAGTCTACCCTCGCTTCTGTGCCTTCACTCTGCCCAGACGTTTTCCTTAGAGAACAGCAATTGCAAAGGAGCTGGTAAGTGATCATG